TCAAGTACTTTGCATCAGAATAACAGGAAAGTTGACTTGAAGGCATCTCAGAAATTAACAAGACCGCACCCTTCTCAGGCTCAAGGGTGCAAAATTTGAAACCTTTCATTTGAAAAGAAACTCCCTAAAATGCCTAGTCCAGAAGGGCCACATAGGCCATTGGTTTCCTGGGATTCATTTCTCTGTTTAGTCATCTAGGCTTTGCAGCCATATCAAGGGATATGGCTATTGCTCAAGCTGGTGGCAGACACTGGCATCATGCATATGTGCTGGTTTTGTAGGCATGCAGAGTGTAACGGTTCTGGATTTGTGGAGGTTTCCACCCAGATTTTAGAAAAATGTCATGGAGGCCAGGCGCTGGGCCCCTGATAGGACACCGTGTGAAGCTGTGATAGCAAATGTGAAAATGCACTGGAGTTCCCAGGAAATAGGAGCAGCCAGGAGCATGCACTGTCTGTTGTGGAAAGCAGCAGGCAGTGAAAGGAAATGACCTAATGAGAAGTCATGTGGGCTGCAACTGGCAATTTTGTATAGGCAGAGCCACCAAATAGCCACCTTTGGAACAGACTGCATGAGCATGAGTCTACGTCCAAGCACGGACAGAACAAACGCAAGGTCACACTGCTGGGAGCTGCCAACAGCCATACACACAGCTAAACGTATTTTGCTTTAGAAAACACAGTAGAGTTCAGACAGCCCAAAGAATGAATGAATACAGAAAGAAACAGCCTACTGAGAAAAGCAGGGCCTAAACACATTTCAGATTATGTCAAAAGACACCAGTTGAGCTTCCTGGGTAACAAATGAGTACAAAGTAAGTTCTGATTAAAAACTTCCATAAATATATTCTTGCAAATAATGATACTCAACTTTGCATCAGGATGCAGACACAGATTGCCTAAATGGTATCCGTCAGCAGTCTCTCTATGCCCAGAATGTGACTCTACTTGAAAAAAGGCTTTTGGAGGAATAGGTAAGATGAAGGCATCTTGGTTTTGGGTGGGTCATAAACCCAATGGCTGGTATCCTTCTAATAACATCATATGGGAAGGTCGTAGGAGATATGGGAGAGATGCAGCTACAAGGAAAAGAACCTCAGGGTTGTAGCAACTAACAGAATTTAAGAAGGTCAAAGAATTCTTTCTTAGAGCCTATGGCCCTGATAGCTCCTTGATTTTGAATTTTTGTCCTTCAAAATAATGATGGAATAATTCAGGCATTTTTAGCCACCTAGCTTGTGATAATTTGCTACAGAATCTCTAGGAAAAATAATACAGATACAAAGGAAGAAAGCACAATTAGAATAGTCAAAATATTGATATTCACAGGAAGGCAGCGAGTTATGGATCGTGCTTCTCCATTCATAGACAAGAGCCACTATATTTTTAAAATGTTATCTCAAGAATGAAGCACTGGAGTATAGTTTTTTCTCTACTCAAGATAATGAAAGGTCCCTGGCAGGCTGACATGTAGGTCTGCTTTGCCACTGCTGGTCACCTGAGCTAGTGACATTTCCTGGCTCACAGACAATAGCACAATGTTCACTCACCTCTGTTCACTGCTTCTGTAGCTTTCCTGGAAGTGTGCCCCTGGTAGAAAGGATATAATGGGACGATGACCTAAAATCATCCTTCAGATGAAATTGATACTATAAGGAATGCACGCTTTCTAGCATGGAGTAGAAAAAAACACAATTAAAGAAAGAGAATATTAATGGTCCCTCAGTTCCTCTTTTACCTCCCACTGTTAGAGTCAGTGAGGGTAGAATAAAGTTGGTTCATAAATTAAAGACTGGCATTTTCCACATATCATCCCTGACTCCAAAATGATCATTTCATCCCTTAAGGATGTTGCACAGTCTCTGAAATACATAGTTAGTTGTAGAGTCTTTTGACTTCAGATGAATAATGTAGTGACAAGAGTCTGCAGAAGAAAAAAATAAAATAGGGCTTCATTCATCCTTTCAGCTAATCCTGACTAGGAGTTAAAAACAAACTTAGAGAAATTCCTCTTGAAAATAGGTCAAGGATGGGGGCAGTGAAAGAGAGAAAAGCTAGGTAAAGGCACAAAATGACTTTGGGACTTGCACTAAGAGACCCCAGGAAGAGCTGCCAGGCAGGACACAGGGAGAAAGCCAAGGGTACAAATGATGAACTCTCCCTACCTCCAAAAAAATATAGAGAAGCAAAGGGGCAGTGTGCCGACTTTAAGGCAGTGTGTACTCACACTTGGGCACTAACATATACACTTACACACATGTATGTTCACCCTCTAGTCAGTTATTCAGGTAGTTCCAGCTTGGTGAGCATGAGTTCTACAGCTGGTTTTATATGGTTCTAATTTAAGCAGCAAAAAGGAAACTTACAGACAAGAAGAGCCTTGACAGAGCATATACATGTATAGTCCATTCCCATCCCACCTTAGAAGATACACAGTGCAGAAAGCACTGCAAGTAGCAGTGGTGGATGATCTTCTCATGACAAAGTCTGGCACTTAGCTTCCAAACATGGTGAGGGCTCACTGCACAGATAAACAACAACTCACTAATGGTGTTACTTTGACTAAGGATCAGAGGACTATTTGCCCAACAAGTGAGTTTACCCAAAGGAACATCACTTCGGACTGTTTTGGTGCATACTAAACTCTCAATACACGTTGATTACTGTTATTAACTTTTATTGTTATCTTTGTATCCTCAATTTTAAGTTTTTGGCATTTGACACTCATTTTGCCGTACCAACGAAGTGAAAATCAAGTTGCCATTGCCATTATCTGGGGCACACTTTCCAGGGAAGGCTGAACTCATGGAGGATGGAAGTACAACATTACGTCGAGTCTACCAGCAACAGGGCAAAGCACAGCAGGATTTCAGACAGGCGTGACTAAAACGAGGAGAGGTGAGTTCTCCTTCAGTGGTAAAGGAGCATCTACCAGTTAATCTCATCGGGAGACGGCCTCAATACTCGGCATGGAAGGGATAGTCCTCCAAATTTTCAGTGCTGCTCAAAGAAACACACACAAGAAAATATCACACAAAGCAACATCTGCAGCATAATCTGCATTCTTCTGTGTGTGTTCTGTCTTTCTTGTATTCTCTCAGCCTCTACCCATGACATCAAGACTTTCTAAGCATAAAAAAGGGGCTTACACCTTCATACGTCTTCCATTTTATGGGGGGAATATTTGAGGAAAGAGGGCGTATGAGTCAGTGGTGACCAGAGAACAAGAATGATATAATCATTGCCTGATGTCTGGTGAAGCACCTCATGAATACTGCCTCAATTCTGTCTTACAGTGATCTAAATTGGGGAATCATAGTGAAATCCATGCTTGGTGATTGTCTTTTCATTTATTTATTCATTACCTCTTTTTTTTTGGTACCAGGAATTGAACTCAGGACCTTGTGCTTGCCAAGCAAGGTGTTGTGCCGCTGAGCTACATCCCCATCCCTAAACGCTGTTTTTATTTTTTTATTTTTACTTTTTTATCATGACTGTCATAGCAAATGAAAAACAATACAGACAAATAAATGCTCATGATCATGATAGATTTTAAGCTCACTGTCAGTTGTAATTTGTAGTTTCATCTTTACTGTACAGAAGAAGAAATCAACTTGGATGTGTTGGAAAACTGATCAAGGCTATGTACCAAAGAAATACATGATATACCTGAGATTTAAGTCCAGCTAAATATATTCTTGCACCCTCTAATGCATTGTCTCCACTGATATATCCACCTGTCTATTGGAGATTCCCTCTTAGCTGTCCAGCAGGCATCACAAATCAAACTCAAATATCTCAAATCAAACTCCTGATTTCTTCTCCTGAATGGTGATGCCATCCTCTCATTGCTCAGGGAAAAACAACCAACAAACAAAATCTCACAACCATCTTTGACTCCTAATTTGTTAGCACATTTACTTGACTGTTTCCTCAATACATCCAGACTCAGATCATTCTTTAGCTCCTGCAGGACCACCACCCAGCTCTCGTCACCATCATCTGTTCCTGAATTATTAACATGGTCCCCCTGTAGTCTTTGAGTGTAGCAGTCAGTGTGATTCTTTTAGAACATGACTGAGATCATACCTCTCTGTTCAAAACATCAAGTGGTATCATGGATCATTCAGAACTAGAATCAAGGTTGTTCCCATGATCTGTTCCACTCTCCATTCTCTGTGCCCCTAAAACTCATTTTGATCTCACTACTTCCCACCCTGTCACTTATTCTGCTCAAGCCTCAGTGGTTGACTTACTTAAATATCGACATATCCCAGGACTTTTGCATTTACTGTTATTATTGTAAAAATTATTCTCCTAGATGGCTCATCCATCATTTCTTCTGCTTTCTGCTAAGCTGTCACCTTATCAGTAAAATCTCTCCTAGCCCACTCCATAGAAAGTATCCATCTCATCATGCCCTTCTACTTCCTATCCTCTCTTGCCTACTACTTCTTTTCTTCATAGAATCTGTTACTCTCATATACAGTGGTACTGAAACGAATCAAATTGCCCCATAAGGTCATTAAACCTAATCGTTGAATTTGATACAATTTTTCATGAAATTCAGTTTGCAACCAGAATCATAGAAAGAATTAAGTTTGTGAACTGAGGTATCACTGTATATTTTGTTAGTCATGTTTTTCCCTCTAGAATAAAAGCTTGTGGAAGCAGAGACTTTGTATAACACGATAATCCCAAGCTCCTAGGGACTGCCTGACACATAGTAGGATGCCAATAAATTAACAGAATGAATGAATGATTCCGCCTCATACATAGTAATGATGTGGCCTCTCTTAAAATGTCAGGTATACATCCAGAATTCTACACAATGGGCAACAATTAGGAATGTATCTTTCCTCATTGTGATTCCCTGGGACCCCAATTTAAATTTTCAAAACTGTTAGAAAATACTACTTGAAGACAGAAGATATTCCAGCTGTCTTCCAATCCTTTCATTAAATCCTGTGCTAGTGTAATAATACCCCTAAGATTCTCTAAGTTAATCCCTTGGCACTTACGAAAGCCCAACGCAGACCCTCCAGTTTCTGTTGAAGCTGAGGATGGTAGCCATCTCTGCATCACTCAGTTTGAAGTCAAAGACCTGGAAAAGTGAGTTTAAAAACATCTTTGGCAGGGCAACTCTTGGTGATACTGGAGATCTCCACGCATTTTGACAGGAAATGAGCTACCGTTTGCAGATCACACCGGGGCAGGATATTCTCCCACTGTGTCCAGTAGATACAAATTTTTCTCCCAAGTTAGTCCTTCACCAACACTTTATCCCATTACTCCACTGTCAAGCAATTTTTCCTTCTTCTCACCATCTTGTCAACTTTAGGCCAGAAAGCTGACCTAGGTGGGGCAGAGATGATAATGCAGGCCAGTGTAGAAGCCTGCTACTTCCAGGGTTTATGTTCCAAAAGGAGGGAGATCAGCCATGAGCGCAGTAAACCTCAGTGTGCACAGGGTCTGTGCTTCCTGAGGGCCACACACGTTCTGCCAGAAGGACAGTTCTTTAAGTCCTGCCCATTCACATTCTCATGTGAGGAGGTGGATTTGTAGAACAGACAGTCTGTTCTTCTGGGCAGCCCACACCTAACTGATGAAGGGCAAACTAGAGTCTTTTCCACAGAGTCACACACAGCCATGCTCAGATATCACATGCCTTCTCCAGTCACTGCCCTCAGCATGCCTGGCTCATGTTTCATTCATCTCAGCTCTACTGAGGCCAGATGCCTGCCCAAGAGGTGACAAGGTGTTGGGACGTGAGTAGGACCCACTGTCAATCCATTAAGAGATGAGATGCCCTGTCCTCTACTCCACTGATGAACACTAGAGGACCAGCCGGGATCTCACCTGAAAGTTCTCAATGATGCGTGCTGGTGTCACAGACTTGGGGATCACTGCCACATTCCTCTGGATATGGAACCGGATCAGAACCTGTGCAGAAAGAGGACAACAGGTTTTTCATTATCTCTGAGGGTCCCTACCAAAAAAGAAAAAAGCAAAAAGAAAGTATTTCTGTTGTTCAGTGTGGGTTTAGGTATAACAGCCAAGATTAATGGAGAGGTTAACTCTTGATGTACATGCCAGTTATCTACCCATTTCTCTGAGTCCCAGTAGTCATGCTATGATTTTCCTTACTTGAGAATTTGAAGAGTGGTTTGATGTACTAAGGGTGAAACTTAAGGCATGAATCCAAACCCATATCTTGTGTTCACTGCAGGGCTTGGCAGTAAACAAAGATATCTTCCTTGCAGGAGAGAGGATACCCTGTTTCACTGAGACTCACTGTGCTTTCTGAGTCCCAGAACAGTTCCAATAAACTAGTTGAGGGCTTCATCCCATTTTTGTCCCCACAAGAGGTTGGACAAAGACAACACAAGGAATTAGGCACAAGACTGAAAAGCAGATGGCTCACTGGGAGGATGAAGAAAAACCAATATTATACCTGGGCTGTGGTTTTTTTGTACTTTAGAGCAATCTCCTTAATACTGGGATCTTCCAGCAGTGAAGGGTCCTCTGGCTTGGCCCTGGGGGCAGAGAGATGGTGGGGGTGAGTAATCACCACGGGCACAGCACACATATGTACTGTCCTTAGGACAGTCTAAAGGCTGTGCACCACAACCTTCTCCATCCACAAGACAAGCAAGAAGACCTGAGAACTGTATGTTTTTCCCATGGCCTATCCATGGACTCTGGAGCCTCAGCATTTTGCTAAGGTTACAACCACTGGATGGCTGAGCTGAAGTATGTTCAGAGGGACAGCATGGTGCATTTGCTTTTGTTGTTTAATTCCCATGTTTTGTCATTGTAATCCCATTTATGCATGACAAACATATTGCCTTTGACATGGTTTTCTTTCCAGGGCAATACAGATTCACACCAACGTTAATGATTTATTAAATAATATTTTGAAAGTATCAGGAGAAAGAAGCAACACTAAGAAGTCTCACCAAGGTCTATCTGGAGAGCCCAGGGGGCTGTAGGCAGTGACAGTGATGCCCTTGGAATGGCAGAACTGGATCAGTTTCTCCTGGGTGAGGTATGGGTGACACTCCACCTGCAAGAATGAACAACCTGCATGAGTAGAGGAGGTGGCCTGCTTTTGGAACATCTGTACATCTGATCATTAAAAAAGATCACCACTGTTTAGCTGAGATAATTGTACCACTAATTTCTATTTAGTTTTTTTAAAGGAATAGTTAATGTTTATATTATTTTACCAATTTTGCATGCCTTTATCATGTAATCTGAGCAACCACTTTGAATATAACAATATGTGATATAATAACCATTGTTAATTTCTTATCATCTTGTTCTGAAATTCTGTAATGTTTGTATTGTTTTTCTCTCCACTTAAAAAAAAGATCACCAAGCAAAGGCCAAACAGGTAGAATTGCTAAACCAGACCTATAGATCTGCATTCTATTTCACCAAAGTATTCCTTCACCATCCTGATCTCTGGGCCCTGACATGAGACTTAATCCATAGCACTGAACTTGCCTCCAAACACTTCAGAAGTAATAGAGCAAGCCTCTTTAGTAAACACACTTTACCTGGTTAGTGACTGGTTTGTATTTCAGTCCAGGCTTGTTCAAGAGCCTTTCAATTTGGAAGTGGTTAAAATTGGAGATGCCAATGGCTTTCACCAAACCTTCATCCACCAGCTCCTCCATGACCTGTCTCAGAAAAGAGAACCCTTTGAAGATATCAATATGTAATACAACAACCATTGTTAATTCCCTACCACTTTGTTTGGAACTCCATATTGTCTGTATTGTTCTTTTGCTATGTTGTAAAATGTTGTCTGTCTTACTGTTTTCCTCTTTTTATTTTTAAAATAAAAAAAAAAAGGAAAGAGAACCATACCGACAGTTATAGAGTAAGTACAGAAATGATGGTGTGGCTTAGTGTTATCTCACAGAGTACAAATTGATAGTGATCCATCACAGTAAGGTTGCCTGGGGTTAGGAGGAAATTTCATGGCTGAGGGTATAACTTAGTGGTAGAGATCTTGGCTAGAATATTGAGTGTAAGAGGACCTGGTTTGATCTGCAGTAGTGGTACAAGAGAGAAGAGGAACTAGGAGGAGGAGAAAAAGAGAAGGGAGAAGAGGAGGAATAAGAATCAGGAGGAAGGAGAGCAGGAAGAAAATGAATAGGAAGGGGAAGAGAACAGCCCCCACTTTCTCCAGGTCAGTGGGGTTTCTACTGACTTGGTTGGGGGTTTATAGAGACATCCAGCACTGACAGAGTCAATCTGGCCAGGCTCAGGTCAAACTTTTTATGACTATAATATTGTTATTGTCAAAGAAAAACTAAAATCTTCTCTTGAAAGTTCAGGCTTAATAAACTTATTTTTGGGAGTTTATCAAACAAGTGTTTAGATACTTGGTTGGAGAATACTGGTGTACACACACAACTAAGTTAGATAAAAACATTATAGGCATTCAGGGCTTGGCTCAAGAAAGAGTCCATACAAAAGATGAGATACCTTACAACTGTGGGAGAGACAGGTACCTCTGCTATGGGCCAGACCTCGAGACAAAAGATTAAACAAGTGCACCCTCATGCTTGCTAAGGATAAACATCAAGATTGATATTCTAAAAAAGTATTGATCACCTTGAGAAAGCCAGGAAGAACCACTAACCCAACCTCCTACAGAAAAGGCACCTGTACTGTATTTATGTCCACTTGCTACTTGACTTTCTTACCCATTTGATCCCAATTGAATCTCTTTTACCTGAGCAATTGTACTTGTAATCTTATTGGTTGACCACAGTTTTGGCCCATCCTGTAATCTCCCATGTTTTCCACCTTGGACCCACCTCACATCTTTGGTTGACCATAGTGATACAAGGAAAGAAACTCCCAAGCAGGTAGATATCTCATACTAGTTTGTGTTCTCTAAAATTGAAGGATGAATTTTAGAAACAATGAAGGTTAAGATTTATTGGAGGGAAAAAAGCTTCTGTCCACTAGAGAGACAAAAGTGGACCCAAATGGATTGCCGAGGACTATGCCCTTTCTAGGGATTTCTATAGAGCAAATCCATGACAGGAGGTTGGATCAAAGATGGGAAACGTGGGAAATCACAAGGTGCACATGAAGTGAGACAAAACTATGGTCAAACAATACGATTATGAGTATAATTACTCAGGTAAAATTCATTAAATCAAGATCAAATGGGGAAGCAAGTCAAGTAGTAAGCAGGCATGAATATAAAACAGGGGTTTTTCCTGTAGGGGGTTGGGTTAGTGGTTCATCCTGGCTTCTTTAGGGTGATAGAGACCTATTTAGGATATCGATCCCTGATGTTTATCCTTATGGAGGTGTGTAGGTTCACTTATTTTATCTCTGTCTTGAGGTCTGGCTCACAGCAGTGCTGCCTGTCTCTCCCACAGTTGCAAGGTATCTCATCTTCTGCACTAGCTCATTTGAGGGCCTTGCCCTGTCTGACTGCCTATAATATTTCTATCTAACTCAGTTGCCTACAACATTTGTTTTCTCCCACCTCATTCCCACCTTGTGCTTTCCAAGTATTCACACATGGGACCCACCTCACATCGTGCATTTGTCTATAAAAATCCCTAGAAAAAGACATGGTCTTTGACAACACACTGGGGATGCTTCTGTCTCTCTTGGATAGGAACTTTCTCTCTCCCAATAAATATATTCTGCTCTTTACCTCTGTTGTTCTTAAAATTCATTCTTTGATTTTAAAGAACATGAACTCCTACCAGACATCTAGCAGGTTCGGAGTGTCTTTCCCTTATATCACTGGGACAGTCATTAAAAACCAGCATTTTTCAGTTTTTAATTTGAACACTTTTTGCAGTATATGGGCTAAACTAGCTCACAGCTTTTACATTTATGGTGTTGTGTCATTTTTATATGAATTTACACTTAATTATATGAGGAAGATGTACATATGAATGACAAATTTAAACCTTCTTAACATTTTCCTTTGAACATTTTATTTATATTGTTGTGTAGTCTCATGCTCACAACTTATATATTCAAAATTTTAGCATGGCTTTCAATTACTTTCCATAATGTTGGAGGCAACTGTGTTAGACAGAAATATTATATAGGCAGTCGGATAGGGATAGGCCCTCAAAGAAGCTGGTGCAGAAGATGAGATACCTTGCAATTGTGAAAGAGACAGACACCTTCAGCTGTGGGCCAGACCTCAGGACAAAAGATAAAACAAATGTACCCACATACTTCCTAAGGACAAACATCAGGGTTTGATAATATGAATAGGTCTCTATCACTTTGAAAAATCCAGGAAGAGTCACTAAATCAGCACCCTACAAGAAAGCCACTGTTCTGTATCCATGCCTCCTGGCTACTTGACTCACTTCCCTATTTGATCCTGATTGAATCAATTTTACCTGAGCAATTATACTTGTAATCTTACTCATTAACCAGGATTTTGTCCCACCTCATGCCCACCTTGCAATTTCCCATGTTTGTCACCTTGGACCCACCATAAGTCATGGATTTGCTCTATAAAAATCTTTGGAGAAAGCAAGTTACTTGGCAACTCAGGACCACATCTGTCTCTCTCTCAGACAGAAGCTTTCTTTCCTTCCATAAATATATTCTGCTCTTAATGTGTGTTGGTCCTAAATTCATTCTCTAATTTTGGAGAACATGAACTCATACCAGATATCTAGCAGGTCAGGAGTTTATTTCCCATATATCATTTGGAAGTCTTCCACCAAGATCATTGGACACAGGTAAAAGATGCTTTCATTTCATAGACTCGGGATTGGAACTTGTTTAGGTAATACATTTTTATTCTTCATATTTTGCTATGTCTTTGCTCATTGCTTATAACTGCTTATGCTTTGTCTCAGATAATTTTGTCAAAATGTGATAAATCTCATTTAAAACATGGATGGGTTATAAGGTTATGATGCTTTTTAATGGAACATTTTTATTCCTGTTTTGTTCTTATATATGTTGTATTTGACCTAGTTACTAAATTTACTGGTATTCCTTGCTTGACTTTATTTAGATACTAGCACTAGCGAGAGTAATGTTAGCATGCCTCCTAGTGGACTTTTATATAAACTTTTGTAAAACATGTCTTTTAAATAAAACATAGCTCAGACTTAGAAAATATACATGCCTATATAATAAAATATGGGACCCCTCCCACCACTTAAAAGACATTTCGGTTGGTGGCCATTCTTAAGACTTGGAGGACACTTTTTGCTGGGACAGACTAGCTCTGATCTGCCTCTACACTCCAGAGGAAATGTCAAACCTGTTCCACTTCAGTTTCCTTTCTCTGGCCTTACTCCTAATTTTTTCCTACTACTTTGTACTTTCCTTTTTAGAGGCACTTAAAATTAGAACAAAAAGAACTTCAGACTGTTCCAAACTTTTCATCCTATTCAACAACTAAGTTAAGCTCTTAGAAATGAGCATTTGACAACACCAAAGATAGAGAAGAAATTTTAGAGAACAGACACATACCCTGTCTCTGAGTCAGATGAAACATTGGAATTCTGCCCGTCCAGGAGAACACACATGAAAGCCATGTCCTAGCTTAGTGCTCTGGGCATGTCTCCCTCAGGAGGCTAAACCTGAGACACCATGGAGAGAACTGACTTCTGGATGACAGCAGAAGGAGTTATCTCTAAAAGCAGGACACTTATGGGACCAAAACTCATTTAGCCTAAGGGATGATCTCTGGTCTTTCTTCTTCTCCTCCTAGGTCTAATTATTATTCATGTGTATATGAAAAATATTTTGATAGTAAGTTTTGGCATTTGAAACCTTTATTGTAAACTTATAAAGTACTAGGTAATCTTCTTGAGGCTTTTAACTGTGCCTTATAGAACTCTGACAAATCGTGGTTAAATGCTGTCTGAGTAACTGCCACTCTTAAAGCAGAGAACAGGTTTCCCCAGCATCTCTTGGTGAATCCCCATTCAAACCAATGGCCAATGGAATGCTGACCACACAGATAGCTGGATTTCTTTCTGGAGATGATCAGTCTGGCTCTGTGGGCCAAGAGAACCTGAGAACAACTGAAGAGTCAAGGGCAGGGCTACTCTGGTGGATACCCAAAGGTTCCTCAGTGAATACTGGCTCTGACCACAGAAAATTCTCCACTTCTTTATTGTTCTTACCTCTCTCTGCTAGTAAACTAGAAATTCTCCCCAAGCTTTTCAATCTAGAACCATATAACTACCCCTCCCTTCAGAAATTAGGCTGAGGCAGCTTGCAACAATTTACATTTCATGGCAACTAGCAAGCAATGATTTACATTTGTGCCTTACATATGCTAAGAGTAAGAAAGAGATTTTAGTCAGCCTTAACTAATGTGCCTTTACTAACATGGAACATGTGATTTCTAGAAGATACATGTAAGTTTAACCTGTGAGCTCCAAAAATTTAAAGAAAACATAGCCTTGTCCTGCTGCTAGGAAAGACTGCCTAGGTGATTAGATAGGTAACACCAGCTTCTTGGAGATATTTTTGCCCTAAGGCCCAGGGCAGAATTCCTCAAGTCAGTTTTCCCTTTTATCTATCTCCAGGGGTGATCCCTTTCACAGCACAGCAGGAGAAGTGCTCTAAATACTTCCAATTCACCTTTCCTATATGCCCTCTTCCAAAGAACAAAAACCAATAGTTTATTACCAAGTTATGCTTCCATCCT